GCTGCATCTTGCTCTCCTTTTGCATGAGAGGTTTCAAAGAAATGCCGGTCCACCTGACACCCAAAGTCAGACAAAGAACATGACAAATCACCAAAAGTGTGCTTAGATTTGTATTGTCCAGCACACCCATCAGTGAATTCATGAACTTTGTCTACTTTCACTTTGACCTCATTCCTAAGGTACGTCAGTATTAGGCCTTGGGTGTGGTGTACAAAATGGTAGTCTTGAGTGTTGTCTTCTGAAAGGGCAAAGATGTGCTCTTTGATGAGGACAGGGTCTTGTTCTGTACTTGCTTTGCCATCAATGTCAATATCAGCATGGCGATAGACAATTGACACATGAATGCTGACTTTCACAGGATCGAAATACTCTGATTGAATTTCATCTTGTGATCTGCAAGTGTAATTCTCAGAAAAATCATGCACACAGATGATATGGTTGAGAGGCAGGTTTGTCATTAAATGATCAAACTGTTCTTTTTGCCATTTGGCCATAAATGAATGGTAGGGATAATCTTTCAGGAGTTGCTGGAAATAGTCAAACATCTCTTTGACAGGAGTTTCTTTTTGGACCAAGTGGATTTTCCTTTTTTCCTCGCCATTGTTATCTTTGTACGTTATGTATTCATATCGTTTCCACTTGACTTCAGTTTCAGACATTTCTTCAGCTGCTGTCTTGAAGTTCTTCACCCCACACTTGTCACAGCTCCTTGTCAGGCAGTCTAGAGAGGAATAGCTGGAGTCTTCTGGCTTTTCACACAATGTGGATTCCACAGCTTCAGTGAGAAAATTAAAGGCTTGAACTTCATTATTTTGTATGGATTTTCGATATTTCATGCAAGAATCAAATACAATTTTGCATTCTACATGCTTCCTACACAAGCAAGATTGTCTATCTCTCTCTCTAGCTCCAGTAACAAAGAAAGGCTTCAACTGCTCAAATCTTCGTTGTTTCACTTTTATGTCGGGATGTAGCTCCTGGAATTCTTTGAAACACTCTGTTTGAGTCTTTTCAAGGATATGCTTTGCGTGCTCCACATACTCCTTTTTGCCAATTCGTTGCCGCATCTTGTCTCTTTTGGATCCAGTGGGTCGACTTGCTTGTAGGGTCCAAAAATCGTAGATAACACGCTTATCTTCTTCTTTAATCGCGTCACACCTGACATTTCTTTTTGTGCTCAACCAGCAGGCCTCATCACCCTTCAAAACTCTTTCTCTATGTTTGATAGCTTTGGACACCTGGCTTCTTTTTACTCCCATCATCTTGGCAATCCGTGTTTGGTGCTTGTTTTTTTTGACAGAAGATCCAAAAGCCAAAGAGCGCGTACAGTTATAAGCTGCTCTTTCATCAGTCGACTTAGCTTTTTTGACTTTGGACAATCCTTCTGCCAAATCTTCTACCAAACACTCCATTGCTTCGATATTTTGTTGCTCCTCAACTGGTCTCACGAACTTCTTTTTTTCAAGAATCTTCCTTGTGCGAGGAGTACTTGCAAGGTTTTGAAGAATTTCAGCCTTTTTTGCGGGGGTTTGAGGTAAGGCAGGGGACACCTTGTCCTTTGCACGTTTTTTTGCCATCCTTGAACTAAAAGCTGGTGTGGTGATGTTG